CCTCCCCTCCTGTTTTTCTCTGCTGGGTCTTTATGACTTGTCTCAGCTGTTCCTGCTTACAGTAAGGTCTCCTCTCTTCTTCTCACACAGTTTCTGCTGTGGATACAGCATGCCCGGCTTCACCACTGCTTGGTTGCTGATGAGGCCAAGGTTTGGGATCTGCTTGGTTCTGACCAGCCAGTTTAGGCTGCTGTGGCAAGCCCTCTCTCCTCCAGCCCATGGCCATTTGGCTTGTGTTGCAGAGGAGATGGGACTCCACAGAGTTATTTGACCAGGTAATGCCTGATCAGCACTTGTCACATCTTATGTGAGCTCCTTAAAAATAAAGGTCTAATATTCTTCTGAAAGAGTGCTCAGCTTCCTTTTTAAACATGGGGTTACTGCACTTTTGAGACAGTGCTAGTCCTATGGGATAGAGAACTAAGTTCTGCCAACTGTATGTTGTTACTTCAGTCGCCATTGGGGACATTATAGTGCTTCTGCTGACTTCTGCTATCACATTTTGCATGGCTGTACTTTTCACTGTTTCTATTTTCAAGAACCACAGAGCTGAAATACACCTCAGAGATCATCTAGTCCAGCCCCTCATTCAACATCTAAAGCATTTTGGCTAGATGGCTGTAGGAACCACTATATGAAGACCTCCAGTGAAGGAGAATAAACCACTACATGAGGCAGCCTATTCCACTGGTCAGTGCTCTTCCTCTCAAGAAATTTCTTCTGATATCCTCCTTAGCCTGAACTTCCTTCCTTGTTGTTTTAACCCACTGATTCTCATTCTGTCATCTGCTCATTCTTCTTCCAAATGACAATTCTTCAGATATTTGCAGACTCCTTAATTTCCAGACCCCTCACCATTTTGGTTGCTCTTCCTTGAGTTCCCTCCATCCTTTTTGAACTGCAGTGCCCAACTGAGGTCTGACCAGGACACATTTGATTGGAACGCTTAATTCCTGTGAACTGGGCCATGTGCTCCTGTTCATTATCTCTGAGGATTTATACATGAATGCTACAACTAATGCCTAGACAGGCAACACCTTCAGGGCCAGCCTGAAGCAGCTGCAGTTTCTATGGTTGTTTCTACCACATATAATGTTTGCTTATATCATCTTGGGGAAATGCCATTTTCCCCACTCCATTCCAGCTTTTGAAATTCTGTTCTCATGTTGGGGAACAGCCTGAAAGTAACAGACATAGTGGGGGGATTGTGCTGAGCAGGAACATCAGGAACATTCCTTCTTGCTTCACCTTTAGCTTCCTCTTAACCCTGTCCCTGGTGATAAAGGTGGCAAATCTGCCATTGTAACCATTCCCCCCAACTCTCCCCACCTGACCCTTTGCAAGAGCAGGGGACCTGGTTTTTTCCACTGGTAGGTGATCCTTGGTGGAAGAAGAAACAAAGCCGGGCAATCCACCAATCCCTTTCTTAACTTGGCCTGCAGTAAGTAAGGCAGCACCACTCACTGCCCTCAGAACGTGGAAGAATAGTAGTTGACAAGCAGCACAATTCATGCCAGCAGTTTTGTGCCAGCTCAAGCGATGTAGATAGTATTTACATGGGGAAGAGGTTACGGTCTGCCTCTTTCAACATTCCAGAGAAAGCATTTTGGAATGGCACTAACAGCTTTTTTCTTTCTTCTCATGTGTCTCTGGCTGCAATGTATCCTCCTTGGCATCTGAAAGATTAGCATCCTAATGTTGTGCAGACTTAGGCATGTCTAAGACCATTAGCTTGACATGTGTAACTTTGCAGGTGCTGGGACCATTTTATTGTGGCAAGTTTTCATTGGCTGCAGCCTAGTTTGTCAGACAAGTTTGTGAATGCTAATCCCAAAATAAAATTGTTAATCTTTGAACTGCCACTGGATTCTTTGCTTTTGGTGCTACAATAGGGCATCTTCTCCTTTGGAGTCAATGACAGTGTCTGGATTCCAGATTATCTTTATTAATGGGGTCTCTTGGGGGCATTTAGGCGGGTGAGAAGCTTGGCAATCAAAGTCTTTACAGCTTTTTTGTTCTCCAAGTAAAAGATATGTTACCTCCTGCAGTGCAATCCATTGTCAAATCATGTTGGCTGTGTACTACTCTGGCAAACAAAACCTGTTTGTTAAACTGCTGTCCCCAGGAGGAAGACAGCAAGCATGCCAATTGCTTTTATGCTGACAGACTAATCAAACATATCACCTTAATGAGCTTTAGCTATCAAAGCCCAAGTAGGAAAAGTCTCAGAAAAGAAAATAACTAGTAGACCAGCAGATATTAAACAGTTAGGAAGGCAGCTATTCAGATGATTTCTCTCTGTTCCAGGATGCAAATGAAATTATTTTTCTTTTTAAAAAAGGATTGTTTTGAGCAATACTGATCCATTGGAGAGATATGGGAAAGGGTTTGGGAATTATCAAGGGGAAACAAAAAAGTTGAAAGGAAGAATTAGACACAGTGATGTGCAAATGCAGCTTGCAGTCAATGTTCTAAATCTTGGATGAGAAGGTGATCTCTGTTCCCAGCTGTATGATAACCCCATTCACTAACTTTTCTGCTAGCAGTCTCTGGTTCTTTACTTCCAGAAACTGGAAATAAGTCCGGCTAATGACAAAGTTGCTGGAGATGCAGTGCTGGGATGTGACCGGTAAAACAGTGGGGAAATTCTGTTTGAGAAAGTGAAACTTTACACACTTGGATTTGAACTGGGCCCCATGGGCAAATCTGCATTTTGGAACTTGCTTTACAAGCTTTCTGAATGTTTATGCACAATTCTCTGCCCCCAAATCTCTAGTCTAAAAATTGTGATTGATTAGCATTTGGCAATGGCTTTCTTTGTCCAGCAGAGGGGGGTGCTGCATTTTGCAGAATGTTCCCCTTCTGGAATTGGAAGGTGACTATCTAATTGGGAACAGAGACCAGTGTGCCACTCTATGTCTGGATTGGTCATTTAAAGAAGTAATGGATGAATGAGTTAACAAATAGCTATTTAAAAAACAATTTCTATTCAAGCCAAGTACCTATCAATGGACATGCACTTTCCAGTTAATGTGTTGGAACCAATCCAGATCTTCTTCATAGTTTTTATAATTTACAATATTTAGTAGGATTGTGTCTGCCTAAAAATGATTTGGTAGAAATGCTGTAGATGTGCACAAATACAGCATCTCTCTCTCTACTAGGCAATAAAGCAATCACACATTTTTTCATCCATGCTTTCATAGGAATTTATAAAAAGACATAGCTGCTTTAAGGTGTTGACTTATTAAATGTTGTTAACTGACCCTTAAAATAGCCACAGCTTTCTTCAGGCTTGTGTGGAAGCCTGAAAAAAGATACAAGTGTTTTAGTAAATAGTAGAGGCACTCCAATGGGATCAATCAATCAGTCCAAAATTATTTCCTGAGCTATTACTGGTCCTTGAGTATCAAAGGGCTTCTCTCCCATACAAAAGGGATATTAGCACTTCATCATCCTCATTTTCAGCACATATTGTGTGCATCTTCTGGTCATTCCCCCTTCCCCAAATTAGGGAGACTACTTTATAGATAAATCCTATTGCATTGGAAATCTGCTTAGAAGTCATTATTGAAGGAATGATGGCATGCAATCATTTTTTCAAATAGATGCCTTTCCCAATAGTTGTAACCATGCCACTGTGGCTGGAGTAATGGGACATGTATCCTAATAATGCTATTATGGGGCAGGGGGGAGAGGGAAGAATGGCTGTCTTGAGTCCAGACATGACGAGGAAGGGGGAAGAGGGGAAGAATTCCCTCTGGTGGGAACACAGTCTGCCCCAAAGCTCTGCAAGGTTGTATGGTTTCCCTGATTTCAAATAAGCTAACAAAGAGCCAGAAATAAATTAACTCATCAGTCCCAAAGGAACTAACCTGGCAGATAAGAAAGTTTTGGAATTATAGTGGAATGACTGCAGTGCCCTCCTGTAGATGCAAATGAGGGCTTATTACACATTATGAGATGTGTAGAGAAAGATTTCCTCATCACAGGCTGAAAATCAGTTTAACTCCACAACAGAAAAATCAGGCTTCTAGGCACATGGCATGTCTTTGAGCAGTCAGAACAGATGGTTGGCCTTAGAAACCACATGTACAGATGATTTCCAAAGCTCATGTGTCTCTCTGCTTTAAAAAGCTGAAAACATACCACCAGCCTATAAATGAGACAACTGAATTATTGACAAAGACTAGGAGAATTACTCTACCCAAACAGTGTACTTGGAAATTCAGCTCACTAAGTTCAGCAGGAAATAATACCACCCACAGATAGGTTGATTTTCTGAATTTAACCAAAATGATACCAAGAGAACAGAGTTACAGTTATTTGACAGAATTATGGACTGGCATGGGCAACATATATTCAGTTTAATATGCAAACTTATATTTCTAAGAAGCATGTCCTACTGGATTCAGTAAGATTTATTCCCAGGTTCATAGCACTGCAGGCAACAGTCATATACACATACACTTGAAAATAAATCAAGTTTCTTGGATTTTCATTAAGTTAAAATGCAAAGAATTGGGTAGGTACAGTATATATTTTTTTCCTATAGATGGTAGGGAGTAGATTTCCAGTACATGGAAGTAAATGTACCACATTACTGAACAGTCAATATGCTATTCAGTTCCAACCTTGTCCTTTGTGAGCTATGGGTGTGTGTCTTTACATAGCAAACTCTAACTCACCAGGATGCTGCAGGTCTGAGCAATGAGTTAGAGGGTCTCCATTTCGGATATCCTGTCGTCTAGTGCGCCTACAGGAATTAAAATAAATCATGGTTCATCACATTCATTGTATTTGTGGCATTTTTTAAAAGGAAATTAATATTATAGACTGTCTGTGTTCGAAAATGCAAGCTGATTACCGAAGAAAGATTTATTCAACCCACTAAATGTAAAGTGCACAGGAACCTGAACCAATGCTATGCCAAAAGTGGAAGAATGAATTCATCAACATTTGTGAAAAAGACATTATAAATAATTTTCAGTCAGTACTGCACTTAAAAATCAATACTTCTTTGATTCATTATTTCTGGAAATATTTTCGCCAAAATTGTAAATGTAGTTTGCTGATAACAAAAGTTACAGATTGATTTATAGACAGTTGAATCAATAAGAGTGCAACATGCAGATATAACTTTTATAAATGCACAATAAATCTATAATATTCTTGCTTCTGAAAATAAGACCAGTCAAGTTTTAGCTAACTCAACTAATTTGATTTCTCCACTAAAGGAAATTCCATTTATGTGTTCCAAAGTTAACATTTTCCAAGACAAAAAGGTTCTCTCTACCTCACTGGTCTTGTTATCCTCCATATGTTCCAAGTGAACTTCTGAAGCAAGAAGCTTTTCCAGTCTTGAAGTCTTTATTTGATTTGTACCCCATCACACACTTCTTCTCTTGCAAGCACTCTCACAAGAAGATCTAGATTCATGAAAGGCTGAACCAATGTACTTGCTCCTCCCTTCATATATTTGTTTCAGTTGAAACAAATGACTAGGACTATATTTGGAAGCATACTGGTGGTCTATAGGTTCTTCGTATTCTGAATCACTTATTAGCATAATAAATTTGAATCTTAGATGTTCTATTAAGAAAGGCAAAAATCTACAAAAATCCGTCAAATAAATTAGTCCGAATGTTACAGTATGGTACACTCATAGTCAAATTCAGGGTCTGAATTATTATCAAAATCTCTTTATGGTCCACAGCAATAAAACTTTGCCTTGATAATTGATTTGATTTGATAACATCTTATGCTACTATTGTTTTTAAAAAAGGATTTTGCAAAAATAATTTACAAAATCAAACACTGTTCCTGTTTAAACTGCCACAGTTGGATTATCATTGTCTGTCTCCTTTCTGCCAAAACACCAGAAACACAACAAGACCATAAAAGTTCAGTCCATAAAAGTGGGATACTTAGGAAAAGAAGAAAAGAGTGGACAAAGATGTTGCTAGAAGCTGAGTACTTCATCTGGAGAAGAAAAGGGATACTGAACAAATTAGAAGACAGTCAAAGGGAGGGAAAAGAAAAGAGGATTAAGAGGCTGTGGTGGAACTGCAGATCCTGAAATCATGAGCAAAAGTCAAAGACCAGGAAGAAAGAGACACAGCTCAGCTTTCCTTTCCTTTCCTTTCCTTTCCTTTCCTTTCCTTTCCTTTCCTTTCCTTTCCTTTCCTTTCCTTTCCTTTCCTTTCCTTTCCTTGCTACAGTGGCTTCAACAATATCAGAAAGAACATTTCTTTGTCCCATTGTTGTAAATGGAACTAAAACATAAATTAAATGATCTTGAAAATACTGACCAACACTCAATTCCCATACCATTCCTTAAATTAGAAAAAGGATCAAACTGATTAACAGATATGTGGTGTTCTACGCCTGTGCTTACTGCGGTCCTTTAAAGATAGGTTCTAGTTTATGTTGTGATTATATTGATTTTTTTCTCTGTTTTTTGGTCTTGGTGTAAGCTTTTTTGGTAGGCTTTTCTCTGAAAAGAAGCATATCAATTTCTGAAATAAATAAATGCAAAATCCCATTTCTCACAACAGTTCCAAAAAAAGCCCTCCTTTATGGAAATAATCATATAACAATAATAAATAATGAACAGGCTTGAACTAAAGGGTATGATAAGTAATTCACCATATGAGTCATAGTTTGGGCTAGTGCCACATTAATATGGGCCAGAACTTGGGATTTTCTAAGAAATAATACACATTTGGAAGGAGATGGATTTTTCCATCATTAGCCTAGAAAGACCTTTCCTTATATGTACAAACTGGAATCATCTGGCAGTAAATCTGGATAGCACTGGGCTGCATACCTAAATAATGAAAATATGTAAATGTGATGATAATATTTTTGTGATTGAAACCTATCTCTGTTAAATAATGTTTTGGTGTTTTTTAAGGAATAAGCAAAGCTTAATAGAGAGGTTAGGAACAAGGGAGGTCTGTGAAGTGGCAGTTTAATGAGCCAGCACAGGCAAAATCAGCAGGGCTTCATGCTTTTTAATTGCTTCAATAAACAACCCTGCTCACCATGAAAAACAAAAAGTGAGGGTCAAAACAGCGAGTTAAGAACAGTGCAAGGACTTGGCCAAGGAGCTTTGACTTCTTCCCAAAACCTTGAAAAAAACAGTCTGAGGTGAAAATTTCAAACTTGGTACATCACATGGCATATATGGGTCTGGAGGTGCTGGTCTGTAACAGTTTGCCTTGCCTCCATGGATATACAAAATGAGTTGTGTGTTTCTTTCAATCAGTGTATCTCATTGTACTGTTATGTTACATAATGGAGGTTCCGTAAGAAATGCACCACTGAATACCACATATTGGAACTGAAAAAAATAGAGAAAGAACTGAAGCCTTGGTCTTATCTGATCAAGCAAACCAACTGTTATATTTGTGTACTCAATACAGCATCTTGATGGCTTGGTCTAAAAGCTATGTAAGCTCACACTTACCTCTTAGCAGTGGGGAAGTAGCGAGAGCAGGAAGCACCATCCCAAGCACAATATGGGTCTCTAGCAAGGCAGCACTCTGCACAAGCTTTCCCATACACATCACAGCGGTGCAAAGGAAGCTGGGAAACTCCAACAGCTGAGCCAATGTAGAGCTGTTGCTACAGGATTGCAAAGAGAAGGAAATAGTTCTAAACTGCTGAACAAGAGCACGATTTTCTCATGTAATTATGAGTAATTTTTACCACTGTGGTATGCAACAAAAACAATATTCGTGGGACTTGTGGAATTTATGCAGCCCTCCAGAGAGAGAATCATAATTTTTAATGGGAGTGGAGATCCACAAGGAATCCTTTTGGACACTATCAGATGTAACAAATCTGACAGTTGAACCTACTTACCCAGTTCCTGCTCCACATTTTTTATTTCCCACCTATCACTATGAAGTGTAAATTTTCTCTATTCAAATACTGAAATCTGCTTTATCAGGCCTAATCTGAATGTATATACTCTAATACTTGTGTGCCAAATGCTTTGCAAGCATTAGTTTAAACCAACAACTACCATCTGCAAATTACTTATTGAAATAGGAAATTATTAGAGCTATTCAACTAGATACAATCTGCAAAAAGAGCTTCAGAGTACTTGGGAACACAGATGTAGACCTTGTCTGCAACTTTTTAAAGCAGCTGCATCTTTCCCCAGGATTGCTCAGCAGCTGCACCCACTCACTCCAAAGCACATTTTGGAGATTAAATCCAAGCACTGTACAGCCCTAGAAACTGGGGAGGAAAATGCACTGGGTTCAGTCTAGGGACTGATGTCTGGGAGCATCTGCAGGGACACCTCACTCCTTTATCCCTGACTGGGAGAAGAAAAGCAACTCAGCCAAGGGATGAAAATTGGGAAGGCTTGTTCATTGTAATATTTTGCACAGCATAAGACAATAAACTCATCACTTCATTCTAAAAAAAATTCCTCCTTCACAAAATAGAAGCAACAATGCACTGAAGACATACAGCTCAGAAAGTTCTGGAAACAGGAATCAACATGTTCCCAAGAACTCCTTCAGTGCAAGCATGCATAGCCAGAAATCTGTCAGAGCATATCAAACAACTGTGTTCCTAGACTGACACTCTATAGGCCTTACTTTGCACAAATGACTTGGGCTTTCTTAGCTGGAGAGAACTTTAATGTTGCAGATTTGTTTGCTGGAGATTCAGGGGGAATTGTAATCCCTCCTGAATACATGAAGAGACCTTTGATCGAAAAGTCATACTTAAATGCATGGCTTATTATACATGTAATCGGCTCTTTTAAAAAAGAATGTAAAAATAATCAAAAGCAGAGCATTCTGAGACATATATATATACTTGACACCTCAACAGTTTTTAGCATAGTTTTTCTCATAATAGCACATTCTTTTAAATCTCACTGCTCTCTCTCTTACTGTGATAAATTCTACAGTGGAAGCAATCTCAGACAAAATACTTCATGTCAAATATACTCACTTTAGGCAAGCTCCCAATATTTAATGGGGTTCCCAGCACCTTTATGATCAATTCAATGTCAATAAAATATATAATACATACTTGATTTTTTCATTTAAAATTATTTTTTTTAAAAAATTAAACAGGATTTGTTATAAAGTTAGAAAAGTTGGAAAGGACTATAAGTAGGATATCTGCTTTGCATGCAAAAGATCCCAGGATAAACCTCCAGTGATCAACCTTCAACTGGCCTCAAAAGAGACACTCTTAACCATTACTGAGTCCTATCCAACAGCAAGTCAGAAACATTATCTTTTGGAGACGCAGAAAGGTTTCCAGTAACCCACCAAAGACCATCTCAAGAATTTAGTTTGTTTTATTGGAACACATCATGTTGTGAAATGTTGGTGTTCTTGAAAAAATTAAGCAGAGTTAGCATCTGCTGTTGAGAAACCCAACAGGCAAAAACATGGGGCAATTGTGCATTCAAGTCTCAATGTCTGAAAGTGTTCTGACCTCAAAGGCTAAATGTGTAACATTGTTGAAAGTGGGTTCTTCCATTTTATGACATTTGTACATTGAACTTTGTGAAAACTAGTCAGCCAGTGGGACCTTGAAAAAGAGGCCTGACTTCAGCTGAATGGCTGTAATGTTGGACTAGGCCTAGGAAACTCAGATGCACATTCACCATCATAAAACAGCCTGAAAAAAGATGTTGCTGCTTTAAGGACTCGTTAAAATTAATGAGAATACACAAGCTTGTCATTTCACTTCACTTTTAGGAAAGCATAGAAAAGGACTTTGCATTTTCTTGCTTATAGGATTTTATGTGAGAAACCATAAATATTTATGAAAAGGAAATGGGGCAGAGCAGGATTCACATGCAGAAAGCCAAATTAAGCGTTTTGAAATCCAGGGCCAGTAAATATTTAAGAATTCCCAGGTTGTGTTTATACGTACCTGCTTTGTGGAAATCTTCATGGCTGAAATAGCTGTGGGTTCCTAAAACAAAAAATAAGAGTTAAAATCAAAGATGATTTAAAGAGCTGCTTTACTTAATAGGATGATATCTGGATGCTTTACACTTGAATGTTTGCACTGAGATGGTTGCTATGGATGCATTCAAAGGTACAACTACCCTTACTGAAATGCAGCATATCTTCTTAAGTTAGAGTGTGTCTTTTACAAAGCTGGTATGCAGATATAATTCTATGGTTTATAAACTGAGTCTTAATAATGTATAATAACATATATGGCTTGGCACTGAAGTATCTTCAGGAATGCCTTCTACAACTGGGATTGATCTGCCTAACCCATTTGTCCTGGGAGAACTGCAACGTCATCTATTTCCACAAGGTACATAACATGGAGGCTTGTAGACAGTGCCCACACTTTGAAATAGCCTCCTGCTTGAACGGAGGTTGACTCCTACAGTTTTAGCCTTCCAGAAACTATGGAAAGTAGAGCTGTTCCAGAGGCCCTATGGTGATGTGTAATGCTGCTGAGACTCTCAGAATTGCAATGGGTAATAAAATCAATCAATAAACAAACCAACAAATAAATAAATAAATACCATCCCATTTCCAGGGTAAAAATTCTCCTTTTCCCTCTTAGCAAAAAATGATCCATCTTATTAGGATTCATAAGCCTACTTCAATTGTTGTGTGTTTCCTTGAATACTACTGCAACTGGTAAAAATGCAGCTTCTGAGATGATGATGATGATGATGATGATGATGATACCATGGGAAGGGTTCAGGGTCACTCCTTTCTGGTAGAAATGCAGTGTTGAAATTTCAGTGGAAATCTAAATATTAGACTTCTTATTTTCTTTCAATTCCCCAATATTGCTACAATTTTTATCATGTTCATTCTGGTAGTCGACAACAAGATTCCACATTTCACCCTACTCAGGGATGTCTGCAAGTATGGCAAAAAAAGTGAAGAAGGTGACAACACACATAAAAAAGCAGTTGGATACAGAAAATTGGTAGAGCTTTGACTGCACCTTTGTAGCTGCCATCTTGACATTTTTTTTACGATACCTGCAGACAACCCTGATTCCACTAATACCAAGCTTGGATATGGCTCAGTGGATACTAAGCATTTTGAATTTATAGCACCAATGAATATTTAGCTTGTTATTAGAAGGCATCAGTTACCTGTTAAATGAAAATATTTGATCAACTGTTCAGGTAGAAAGGTTAGGAGGCATTTGTTTTTCTACAACACCTATGTTTTAAAATTGGACTGTAAATAAAAAGCCTAGCATTTGGTGTATTGAAAGTCAGATCTTAAATTCATTGTTTGGTTAAAAAAACAAGATTTATCCTTCATTTCATACAGAACAGAATTTCTGTCTCTAAAATTAAATCAGAATACTCAGTAAATAACTCTATGTTACTCTGAAGTTTTTGTATACAGCTGTATACAGTGTTCAAAGTGACAATGGATTAAAACACATGCCAATTATTTCAGCTTTTCAGCCACCATATCATGTAAACTAGGAGCAACTATTTTGCTAGGCTGAGCAGATTTTTCTGGTATGCCAATCCATGCAAATAAAAATGAATAGGTTTACAATATTGTTATATAATTTTTTTAAAAGATGATAATGTTTTCAAGTCAGGTTTGATTCCTGGTGATTACATGGATGTGAGTTTTCTTGGCCACAACATGAAAGTGATTTACCATTGACTTTTTCCAGGAGGTTTTCTGACTTCCTAGGCTAGACTTCAATCTTTATCCCAATCACGTAACGTCTATTCATAGGCCAACATAATGGCAATGTAAAATGGAGTGAAGCAATTCACATTCTGTTCAAATGTAGCTGCTGCTGTTTACCATTACAGCCTATTTCTTAAATGTCTAAGGGAAGCTGATGTTAGGTGACCTGCAAGAATCTGCAGATCTTTCATCACCTGTTTAAAGAAATCTCATCAATGATTTGTATGGTTTTCAATTTGATTAATTTACAGAAGAATAAATGATGTTGATGAATTGCAGGAAGCAAAGTTATATGGTCCTATCTAGTTCAGTATTATTTGTAGAAACTTGCAGCAGCAGTTCTAAGGCTTAGATACAAGTTTTTTGCAGTCTGATATACCAGGGATGAGGCTGGGAAGCTTGGCATGAAAAAAAATGCTCCACCCTGAGCTATGGGTGACTGCCAGAGGTAGAGAAGGGGGCATTGACTTCTCATTTTAAATTAACCCTTGCCTGTGTTGACCAGCTGCTAACGTGGAGGAGGTCTGCTTTGCTCAGTGTAGGAGGAAATTACTTAAATCATAACAGCTCATGCTTTTTGGCTTTGGGATTTTTTTAAAATTTAAAACTATTATTTAAAATAAAATTTAAAATAAATTAATTTAATAATTTTAAAACATTATTTAATGAACCAGACCAATAGTGCAGTGGCAACACATAAATATTTTATTCTCCTCTTCTCATGTCACATCTTCTCCAGGATCCTGGACCAATTTAAATAAATAAATAAATGTCTCCATAATCAAGTTCTGAAATAAGGCCAACAGTGTTCAAACTGTGCATTTCATCATAATGATTCTTAATTGCTATATCATGGGAACCCTTCAACATCTGAAAAATAGACCTTTCACTACACCCTTGTCTTAATGTCATTTGCCCATATGTAGAATAAATTTTGTATATATTTTTTTAGAGTAGAAAAGATAGGCAAAGAGGCCTTCAAACATACAGATGATTTTGACTGTAAATTGCAAACAGTTGTATCTGCTAGTCTTTTACGTTCCACCAAATGAAAAAAAAAAAGTCAGCTATATAATTTTTTGTTCTTGGCTTACAGCTGGCACTGATAGCTGTAAGGTTTATTTTGGCTAGTGCCTGAGTCTCTAATTGACAAGGCTCATGAGGACAGTTCATTGCGCTCTTCCATAATAAGCTCAATCTGCAGCTATCTGGGAAGACTGCAGTGGTGGCAGGACAAAAAAGAATCAATATTTTTCAGATGCACTCACCCAAAAGACAGTGATTTCTTCCAGCAAAACTTCCTCCAAATCATGCCAGGTTTCCTTCGGAATAGAAACTACTTTCAAAACTGTCCCAATATCTGAAAGAAAGAAATGAACATTTTCATTTAGACAGGATGGCTTCATTTTTAATTCAATAAAGTCTTGTTTTCATATTATAATTATCATCTTTCAGGAAAAAAAAAATCATAGGTCTGAACTAGCAGAATCAATATTACACTGATAGTCTTTCAACCATGTTCTACAAGCTATAAAGTTCTTTACAGTTCTGCATGCCAGAGATGAATGGTGTAAGTTTGTGGGGGACATTTAAGAGCTCCTTGGAAGAAAGGAATCAACAGGCCAAGGAATCTTTTAAAGTAGTTTGTGGAAAATGCTGCAATAGAAGACTAAGATGAATCAAATATCCTTGTACTATCAGCATGGACTAGATTGCAATTAGCAAGTGATATAAAGTGATATAAAGTGATAAGAACTTGTTTAATGGCAGGTGGTCATGGTATCTTCCCAAGAATCTTAGGATCTACCAGCTAAAGAGGACAGTGGGAATTCTCTACAACCAAAAGCAGTAACTTCTATTAAAATACCACATATAGTATATATATATTTGCTGAATGCCATCCATGGGTTGTGTGACAGCACAAAATATGACAATTTTTAGAAAAAATTAGGTTTTTTTTTTAAATTTAGTAAATGAGAGTCTAAAAAAACCAACACAGCATTCCAATATAAACATCTAACAGATCTGCTGGAATCAAGGATGAAAAGATAATTCATTTTCTGAAACAAAGGAGCAACAGGGAGAGAGTGCTATTCTTATATTTAAAACATTTTATAGCAGCAGAAGTTGATAAAGTTGGAATGTGTTCATGCATATTCTAAGGAAATCCTGTGATAGCTATTCTATAATGTCTGTGAGGTCCAGAGTACAACATGTTAAATATTAGAGCCTCAAGCACCTGAAATGAAACTTTATCTGCATTCAAGATCAACTTCTTGTTGAGTAATTTTTCAAGCAATTTCACGCAACTGAATTAGTTCTTTCTTTTCAGATCAGAAAGCTTTTGGTGATTAACTTAATTTACAAGATAAATGTAGTATTATGAATGTATGTGTATTGACAGATGGACTGTTCTAAATGATCTTTCTTTACTTCTACATTAAGTTACAAGTGCAGATGGATATGCTAAAACATGCATTTTAGCCTGCTGGAGAAGATGAAATGAACCTTTGTTCATGAAAGAATTAAAGTGAACTATTAATTTAGCCTGCAATCCTAAACCCAGATTCCTGAGAGCACAGTAGAACCTACTGCAATATAAGCTAATAGTAGGTCTACATAGTCAATATTTATTAATCCTGCTTTTATTATGTATTTGACCATTGGGAGTCAATTTCCTCCATAACAGTTCTGGAAAAGAAATTTCTTTCATTTCAAAGAATGGAAACTACTTCAGGGCAGTACTTAGATCAAATGAGATATGTCTTCATGCAAATCATAACTACACTTTGACATTCATTGCCATGAGATAGAAGGATGGCCACCAATTTGTATGGCTTTAAAAACTCATAGAAACCTACAGTTGGAAGGGACCTTGGAGGTGTTCTAGTCCAACCCCCTGCCCAGTGCAGGAATCCTCATACCATTCTCAATAAGCAGTTGTCCAGTTTTTTTCTGAAGACCTCCCATGACTTCTGAAGTCCCATGACTTCAGGAGGCAGGCTGTTCTATTACTTACGAGCTCTCACAGTCAGGAAATTCCCCCTTATTTCAAGAGCAAACACACACACACATCACTCACTACAGCTTGATATAACCTGATGTTTTTTTTTTTTAACTTATTGAACTTCAACTAACATCAAAACTGTTAACTGGCAGAATATGGAAAAGGCAGGCAAAAACAGGGAGGGAGAGAGAGACAAAAGATAAAGGGCAAAGAGTTCAATCACAATAATTTAGGAAGGCCTTGGAAAAAATATTCAGATATCATGATGTGTCTATACCTACAAAGATCAGAATAGTGCAAATGGTACTCTCTGTGACAGTCTATGGAAGAGAAAGTTGGACTTTGAAGAAGGAGGGTAGGAAGATTATTGACCCCTTTGAAATTTGGTGTTGGAGAAGACTCCTGAGAACATCATGGACAGCCAAGAAAACAAACTGATGTATCATTGAACAAATCAATCCAGAGTTCTTGCTTGAGGCACAAATGACCTGGCTCAAATTATCCTTCATTTCATGTGAAGACCCAGCTCTCTGGAAAAAGTTGCAGTGCTGGGAAAGGTGGAAGGAAAGAGAAGCAGAGGATGACCAACAGCAAGGTGGATAGACTCAGTTACAGTGGCGATGAGTGCAATGTTGGGAGACCTATCTATGTGGTTGCTAAGAGATGACACTGACATGATGGCACAAAATTAATCAAGAACCAATCAATGTTATCTATATCTAAAAGGAATAGGACTTTCCAGAGCTACTGAAAACAATGCTGTGGGTAATTAGTATGGGCAATCCCAAAACATGGGAGTGTCTTTTGGTTTTTCCAGTTATAGTCCTTTTATGTACTTAACAACATCCAGATAGAGATGGAAAGCAGGATAGCAGATGATCCTTTCTCTATTTTGCACCATAAAGAGAACAATTTGGACTATGGGTATGATATATCCAACATCAGCAATGTGTTGTGTATCACCTTGTAATATGAAAGACCTGCTCTCATTCAGGTATCACACTCATTGGTATTGGAGGTGGTCCAGCCTCATCTAGTCAGTCTCCCATTTCTCATTGTGATGGCCATCTAGCAGAAGCAGAAGAAGTAGAGTGGGGCCACCTTACATGCATTTTGGATTCACCAATACAGAAAAGCCTTTGTGGGAATTGCATGTTGCTTTTACATTTGCACTTTCTGCCAAGATTACTATAATCCAACAGTTTATACTTTATTTTAAGAGCCTCTGGGGATAGGTCCCATTTCCAAAGGAAAGAAAACCAAGATGTTTGGTTGCTCTGAGGATGAAGTGAAGATAACCAGCAAATAGCTATCATAGCTACAAGCAAAAGCACACTGCTGAAGCCTGATAAAGACAGTGGAACGTATTTCCAAAGATGTGTGCATAGGACTGAACATCCTGATGGAGAATAAGTTGCCAGTGAAGAACCATATCACAGTCTATGGTGCATAGAAAGAGATAGCAGGGTGTTCAAAGTTTTGCTGCATCAAATCAGATCAAATTCTAAAGTTTTAACAATTGATGTGTCACAGCAATTCAGTAAATTGAATCAATAAATCAATTTGATTTGTGGAATCAGATCAAATGATCCAGTTGATCTGAACAGCAAAAACAAATTGACCTATCCAAATGTTGGTTCTATCCAACATTTTGAACTGAATTGGAACATGAAATCAAATCAGTTAAATTAATCCAAATGAATTGTACCAATTTTCTGAACCAAATCACCATATAAGATAATAGATATGATAACATTCTAACAGACATTTGATATTTATAAATTTATTACATAAGATGTTTTAGAGCAGAGTTTTCTCAGGGGAAAAGCTGCTTTGTTGCTTGAAATGTTTGGTTAGTTCTCATACTTTGGCACCACTCCAGTTCATTCATCACTTGAAACCCCCTCAAAAGTGATCAGTACATCTCGGTCCCTTTCAATGTTGTTTATTTATTTTATTATTGAATTCATTCCTTGTCTTTATGTTTGATCAAAGACTTTAAAAAAGCCTCCAACACTCAAGTTTATGGGGCATTACTAGTTTTTCTTCTGCCAAAACAAAGTTTTAAACCATAGCTTATAATTTATAACTTACAAACATATAACACTGGATTACTGGAAGAGAAACAAGTCAGAAAGGATTTTGTTTTATTAGAAGTGATAAAATTGCCCATGTTTGTTTTGCTACTCTCATTGGTAGGAGAAGCCAGAGGATCAAATGCTGCTTGTTTTTAAATTAAACGAGGATTCTAAAAATTTCCATCTTAACAATATATCCAATGTGGCTGCCATATGTAAATTAGGCCTTCTTCGTATTTATTTGTTGGATTTATGTTTCACCTTTCCTTCAGGAGTAAAAGACGGCATTACACAGCCTTCAGTTTTAAAGTAAACATACAAGTCCATTCTAAAAGGAAACAAATGGGATGTGCTCACTTTCTGTTACTCTGTCAATCAAAAATCCACCTTAGTTCTCACTGTATGTGGAACTTGGAAATTTTTTATTTCACTTTCTGGCAGGTTTGGCAAATAAAACAAGCAAATAAACAAGTCTTACCTGTTCCAATGAACATGACATCATACTGGCCATCTTCTGCATCTACCCGATCCACTACAATTTGTGTGAATTGATAGTCCAAATCTGTCTTGATCATAATGGGCCGGTTATTAATAGGAAATATAGGGTTGTACATGGCTGGGTGGCTTCTTGCAAATGTGATGACTTCATCAGGTAGGTCCTTGGTTGAGTCAAAGCCTCCAAATGTCTTACTTGGACACTAGTGAAAAAAACAAGAGAGCAGTAACAGGAGCACAGTGCCCAGGATGTGGGAAATAACTTTCACTTTACTCTGCCTTGGTCAGGCCTTGCCTGGAATTCCATGTCTAGCTCAACACTCCAGATGGCTTCCAGCAATACATCAATGTTCAGGAAGCATTTTAACTATTAAGAGTGCATGCCAAAGCCTTTCTAAATAGTTGAATCAATGCAGAGACAAACCAATTTGATTTAGTGATACAACTTACATTAGGGAAGTCAATCCAATTTGGAGTTTGACTGAATCAATTTCAAACTAAATTATAATGTTTGTTCCCTTTATGGATTCAAACATGCAACTCTTGCAATGTGCTTGAAAACTTCTGAACTCCTAAAGTATACATCACCTGAAATGCAACATATAATTAAGTCTTAATCCTGGCCAATATAGAAAAATATTATTACAGGCACTGACTTATTAATAGTTCCTCAGAGAGAAAATTAAACACACCACACATACATATTTTCCTAAAGAAAAAGAAGAGACAGAAGAGAACAGTAAGCCAGTTGTTTATTTTATTAAATGTTGGGTATCACTTCACACTGTGATACCCAATGTTTACTTCAGCAACATTACAATATTCATATTCATTGATGAATATCAAAGCTGGTCAAATCCAATTAAAAATGCAGAGTGTTCCCTTCTTTTTAGAACTCAGATGCCACATTTTAGCAGTTACATAATGAGAACAACTGGCAACTGTTTTTCAGTAGCCTGCAGCAATTTTCTGTTTAAAAGAATTCCAAACTGCAAATCCCTAAGGCAGACATAATTTTCCAGATGTTCAATACTGATTACTTGCATTAATTAGATAATGATTAATCAAAGAATGTATGTGAAATGGATTGAACAAGAAAAGTAATTTAGAAATAGTAAGTATTGACCATACAGTTGGCGAGTCATACAGAAGAACATGTGGGAATAATGTTCAATTTTTTTTTCCATTTTTTAAAATGATCTGACTTCATAATTTAAATGATCTGGCTTTATAATTTACAAGCAGCTGTTCATTAAGTGTTAAATTTACATGTATAATAAACACACTATGAGGCTTTCCAAAGTGGGCATTTTCCCCTCAAATTCCTAACGTGTAAAATGAAAGCTGTGTTTATCAAAACTCACGCAATTATTTTGGATAATCTACTGACTGACAGATTTGATTTATATACTACCCTTCTACTCTGGCAAGTAAGCTTCCCAGTTGAGCTTGGTGACTACACATTTTATAGAAGTGGTTCCCATTATTCAATGACATCCAGAGGCCTAATAGAAAAGCAAACAATAGTACGGCACTTAGTAGTCTCCCACTATGATACAGCATTGTGTTGGACTTAGTTGAGAGACCACAACTAAGTAGTCTGGGAAGTAAAAACAAGAAGAACAACAACCCAGAAGAATACAGTAGCAAACCATTTCCATATTGTTGTTAGGAAAACTACTGATTAAGTCCATAAAGTCACCTATAAGTCAAGCTCAGCTCCAAGAAGACTGTATGCTTTAACCATTTTTATAGAGTTAAAATTAAAACCTAAATTGATAGAGTCTACTGTGCTATGCTAGCTATCTATCATCTCATTCTGATGCATAAGCAGGCCAAGTTGTGATATCAGATAAGTATGACAACCCTGGTCTGTGCCCAGCTACAGATATTGCTATTCTGTCTAAATTTCAGGCTAGTTTTCCATAGTTCAGCTGAACATTGAAGTTATTTCCATGAAAAGGAAAACAAAACAAAACAAAACAAAACTTGTGTATTTCCTGGAATAATTGGATACTATAGGATTATTGAAATTAAGGGGTGGAAATCTGATGAATGAGAGAGCAGCAAGAGCCTCATGGATCTTTTAAAAGAACATATTTTATATAAAATATATAATTTGCAGGATTATTACTTTCAAAAGGATATCACTATGTCTTTAAATCACTATAGCTAGCTTTGAGAGAACAACCTAATGGCTATGCATTTAAATATGTGAGCAATTCCCCCATTTCATTTATTTAAAGTTATTCCCGATCTTCCAGTTTAACACCAGGTAACCATTTTGGCATCATCTGATTCTCCAGCAAGAAGTGCACTTACAGTTCCTGGCCGTGGGTATGGCACCCTTCCTTGGTATGGGACCCACTGATAGTTGGGACCATCTCTGTGAGCATATGGACCCAAGAACACCCGTCTCACATCAGTCATGCTATACATACAAACAGCTGACCCTTTGAAGATATTGCTAATATTGAGGAAAGCAGATGAGGAAAGACAGAAAGAAAAAAGTTGTCACATTTTTTCTAGATTAAGAAGGTTTTAGAAACATCTATGTAATTCATATGGACAGAACATTATCCACATCTCTAAATATCTGTTTGCTTCTATGCTCTTTGCTCTGTTTTTTCCCTAGATTTCTTTTTCAGTTAAACCAGTGAGCCATAGCTGATCTTGTTCTCATATCACTCTAAGTACATTGAAAGATTGCTGATGAGGTTCAGTTTCTTGGAGTAACTGAAAGCCACATAGCCAATCAACCTCAGAAAGCCTCAGAAAGACCCTTGGAGTTACTTATGTTGTTAGTATACTGTATTCTCTCAAGATCCCAAGCAAGATATAATCTTGGCAATGAAACAAGCTAATGTAAAATTGTATGAGCCAATATCTGTCTGTATCTGTATCAATCTATGCACCCTTCCGTACTGTGTGGTCACAATCTTTTTATGACTTTTCATAAGAAAACTCCAATTCATTAACCTTTCAACATTCAGTGGATTCTTTCAGCTCAAAGGTTAAGAAAATGCCTCCCTTTTTTCAAGGCCCACACTAACAAAGAAAGCTTTTCAAAACAGCCAGCCCCATATATGCTCTTTTATAAGTAAAACAGCATGTGCCATACCTGGAAGTTGTAAATACTGCATAGATTATTGGATTTTTAGGATCTTTTGAGTTCATTAGAAACACATCCTCTGTCAATAAAAGGAAGAAGGAAAAACAACTTAGTCAATTCATAATGAAACATGTAGCTGTCCAGAGAATAAATCTGTATTCATAAATAGTACAATCACTTACGGAGTTCATCGAAATGGGTGTCAATGCCATTAGGTCCTGGCACAGAACACATTAATCGTGCTTTCAAAAAAGTTGTCCATTTGTTGACAAGACTTCTATGTCCACCAAAGTCATTCTATAAAATAAAAAGTTCACAGCAGAATTTTAAGAGCCTCCTAATTATCTCACCCCTAATTATGACCTTTAAAATTACAGTATTAGATTTGATTTCTGTCTTGCCTAATGTCCATGAAGAAGACTGCTCTACACTGAAAGAATGCCTCCATGGTAAAAATAAGCAAAACATCAGAGCAGAAGTTACAGTGGAGTCTTTCACAGCATGAATACTCCAATGACTTTCCTACCATCAAGCCAAGATGAGTTTGGTTTTACAGTGGAATTAATATAAAAATTGAATCGGGAGACTATATGAATTGAATGAATAAATGAATAAATATTACACAGGTAAATACATTTATTAAGGCCATGAAGATTTCAAAAGGTGCTTTACTTCAGTGATGTGGGTTGAGTGTGGGTTGAGCGGCTTGGGAGGCAAGGGACTACCATTGTGCTCAAAACTGCTGTGCAGCCTTTATGGACACTTGGCCTGCAAAAGCCTCACTTTCTTAAACACTTTTGGATTAATTAATTTATAACTTAAGAGAGATCTTCCAACTGGCAGGAAAGAATAAGAACACTCGATGAGTTACCTTCTTTTTGGAGTTAAGAAGAGAGAAAAAAAACTATCTTAAAGGATTTTGATTTAAAAGCAAAAAGCTTAACAAGATGGTGATTTAAGAAAGTTTTAAATGGATAAAGGGGGCAGAATTTATAGAAAACAGAAATGTTTTTTGTTTTTGTTTTTTTGACAAAGGTACCTTTGAAAATAGTAAAATTATCTAGGTAAATAGACTGGTCCTTCGTGGGAATGCTGATTGTTTATTATTAAGGAGAGTAGATAATTGATGGATTTTACAAAAATAAGAAGATAAGGATAATATGAGCCGAATTGTGTGACTGTAGCTGTGGACAGCTAATTGGGACCAAAGTGTTAAAGACAGAGAAAAGCAAGTCAGGGGGAAAAAAATCTTACTTTTTGCTCTAGTAATTGACATACTTTCACTTTTGGCCATAAATATTACAATGGCAACCACAAGAAAAGCAGCAAAAATGGGAGAAGGAATAACTTACAGATAAGGGCATCACACCAGATTTATGGGAGAAAATGTTTGAGGAATTTGCCAAGAGGATGACTGAAACAGTTGCCAATAGTTTGGATACTTTTAAAAAGGAAATGGAAGAAGGATTTACAGGGATAAAAAAGGATATGAAAGAAGAAGTTAAGAAGACTGAAAAATCTGTAGGACAATTGGCTGGAAATATAAAACAAATTAATGACAAAGTGGAAGTTTTGGAAAGTAAGACAGAAGTTATAACCAGAGAGATGGAGAAAGATTTGGATAACTTGGCATTATCGGAACTGAGAGAAAAAGAATTTTGTTTAAGATTTAGAGCAATTTCAAAAGGCCATGGGGAAGATATCAGAAAAAAGATTGTTAAATTCCTGACTAACTTTTTGGATTGGGATTTAACTTTTAAAAGGAAAAATGGCTCTTTCAGATGGAGATTGAATGAATGTTATTGCAAAAGGAAACAGTAGTGGAGGAATGGAAAAAGAAGTTAAAAGAATTTTTTTGAGAATATCTTAATAAAGGCACAGAAGTAAGAATGGTTTGGGATGCAAGCAAAGCTTTTATAAGAAGATATTTCATACAACATAACATTTATTTAAAAAAGAAAAAAAGCAAGAGAAAATACAAGTGATTTTGGATGAGATAAAAAAAGGAAGAAGAGTTTAAAAAGTCCCCAGAAAGGATAACTATTATCACCAAATTAAGTTTATAGAGAGGCAATTACCTATGTTAACAGTGAGAGAGATGGAAATAAAGAATTATGCAAAACAAAGAAGTTTTGAATTTGCAAATAAACTGGGGAAATGATTGGCATATGGGCTGCAAAAAGAAAAAGAAAAGAAAGTGATACTAAAGTTACAAGAAGGAAATACTGTTCTATCAGATAGAACAGTATTTGTATGGCAGGGGGAAAAACCACAAGTTAAATATAAGGTGCTATAGGATGCAAAGGAAAGAGGAGAACTGGGTTTACCTGATTTGAAATTGTATTTTGCAGCTTGCTGTTTGGTTTGGATGAAACAGTGGGTGCTGCTGAGAAACAGAAGGCTTTTGGAATTAGAGGAACATAACCTGAGGTTTGGGTGGCATGGATATTTGTGGTACAAGAAAGTCAAGTTCAATGTAGATTTTAAAAATCATTATGTTAGACGTACCATACTGAGAATATGGAATAGATACAAACCCAGGTTTTACCCAAAAACACCTCTGTGACTCTCAGTACAAGAAGCATTTTACAGAAGAGAAACAACAAGCAAAGACAAATGGTTAACACGCCAGGAGTTACTGGACCAAGGGCAATATAAAATTAAATCAAGAGAGCAACTAATGGCAGAAGGATATAGTTGTCAATGGTTTTCCCATTTACAGTTATCAGAAAGATTTAAAATGGATAAAAAGATTTATGGTATGGCACAAAGAATTTGAAGTGCAGTTGTGTACCTATGATGAACATGTAATTGCTAAAATGTATAAACTTTTGTTGAAATTTGAAATAGGTTAAAGAATGTGTGATAAAGTGGGCTAAGAATTTTGGTTATAATATACAGATGGATCAATGGGAAAATATGTGGTCAAAAGGGTTGAATTTTACATTATGTTATGATCTTAAAGATGATTTTTATAAAATGATGTATCATTGGTACATGACACCAAAGAAATTATCTAGAATGTATAATGGCATTCCAAATGTATGTTGGAAATGTGAACAACATGAAGGGACATTCTATCATGCTAGGTAGACATATAAAAAACCTAAAAAAATTTGGATTCAAATACATACCTTGATACAGAGGATTTTAAAGATTAATATTCAATGGAAGCCAGAACTTTTCCTTTTAGGACTGATGTATATACAGTTAGAAAAGAGTCATGGAAGAATATTTCAATATATGATTACTGTAGTAAGATTATTATATGCACAAAGATGGAAAGATTTGGCATTATCCACCATGGAGGAATGGCTGGTGAAATTGACAGAACTTGCTGAGATGGTCAAACTGACTTCTTTGATTAGAGAAAGGTCATTATTGACATTCATCAATGACTGAAAACCGTTTATGGACTTTTTGCATAAAAAAGAAAATGATTTTGTTGATGATGATTAGAAAGGTTATAAAAAGAAGGGAATTATGATGTAATCTTAGAGAGAGAGAGGTTTGATTAGAATTGTATGTATAACTGCTGAGAGGAAGATTGGAAGCCACTTCTTTACATATTTTTTTTCATGTTTTCTGTCTTTTCTTTTTTCTATCTCCTTTTTTCTTTGTCTTTTCCTTTTTTTTTCTTTTTCACATTTACTATATTTTTTCTTTAAATGTATTTCTTATTATATATGTAAAATCTCTTAATAAAAACTATTTAAAAAAAGAATGTAATTCAGAAGAAGTGCTTCAGATCATGTACAATCATTGTACCTTTCTATTATTCTTTAATGCATCCTGCCCTTTCCCAGCTTTCAGTACCATCATTAAATTTAGTGGAACTCTTAAAACAGTCACAATTTTTAAGGCTCATAGGAAAGTATGGATATAAAAGACTGTTTTAATGAATATTAGAGAGATATTTAATTAGCACAAAGTCCAAAGCATTACATCTGGATTATTTTTGAACTATGAGGAAGATTTTTGAATACTTCACAAAGACCCTGATGAACCTTTATGGGATTTAACCATTTTCTCCCAGAAGACAATGTGGGATGTAACCACTGGGATATAACTGACCAAGTGGGATGTAACCACTTTTCTTCCAAATGAAATTCCATCATTAGGGTGCTATCACTGAGAAGACTTGGCCTTTTGTACTCCCCACTGGAAGGACCAGAAACAGGAGATGCTGTTATTGAGGCTGGTTCTCTTTCAAAGAGTTGAAGTCTAGACATTGGGTTTTGTAGTTGAATAGAGAAATAATTATACATTTGCTGTTTTTAAATTTGTTAGAAGTAGAAAAAGCCTTTTTGCATAGGGCAATCTACTAATTCATATTCTGCCTCAGCTTGAGGAACTGAAGTTTGTTCAAATTCATTCAGCTGAATTAAAATCAGACTGAACCCAAAGTTTTCCCTGATTGCTAAATGCTAAATAATATCTGATATTTGACCCTTTGATAATATTCCAAAATATTTTGGTAAAATAATTTTTAGAAGTGCAAAATTATCAGGACTATATTTATTCCTCTGTACATCAGTCAAGATTTTACCTTACAGATCTGTCCTATTCTGGCATGTGTGGCTTTTCCAGAATGCTCCCCATCAATTGCATTTTCACGGAAGAAAAAATATATCTTGTCATCTTCTGGATTGTCACTTTCAGGGATCAAATGAGCACTAATAAACCTGGGATCTGTAAAGGAAATGCAACATATATAATATCAGACGTATTTACAGAACCTTAGGTTTTTTCAACCCCAGATGAAGAAGTTCACAATTACTTTTCTCCAACATTCTAGAGTTTCTTGGAGTTTACTGGTGTAGGCTTTCATGGCTGGTATCTGTTGGGCAGTGTTGGGCTTCAGGGTTTAGTGACTGTGGTCTAGAGATTTCTGCAGACCACTTTGCCACTTTTTTTTTTTTGCCACAGTTGCAAACAAAATGTCTGGAAATTTGTTCTCTAGAACACGGTCACTAAACCCTGAAGCCCAACACTCCCCAACTTCCTGGAGTTTGCTTATTGCCCTATGAATTTAACTAGCACCATATCCTTGGAAGTTGTTTCAACCATGATCAATATAAATAACCTGAAAAGAAATGGATGAAGTTTTCTAAGGACTGGACTATAGGTTTAGAGACAATAGGGCTATGTAGTGCTTCCTACTCAGTTCTAAAAATTGATCTTGCATTTCCCTAGCCTAAGAGACAGCAATTATTTTAAGGTAATTTAAAGTGTGTGGGAAAATAAACATTCTGTTTGAGGAGTTCAGTTCTCATTAACTCAGTTTTAAATCTGAGAAGAATCTATGAGTTAAGCAGTAAAGAACTGAGGAAAAAAAGAAGCTTCTGTGTACACAAGATTTTTTTTTAAAATTATTTATTTATTTATTTATTAAATTTGTATGCCACTCATCTCCCCCAGAGGGTGACTCTTTTAAATTATATTTAAAATTGGATTGAGTTCTCATGATATGAATATAAGTAATATACTTTTTCATGGGTTTATGTGGGTTCTTTCAAGAGGTATAATGGATATGAAAACATATGTACAAGCTTTTGTCATGAGAATTACAAACAACACTTGGAAACTACTTACGTACAACAAAAGAAAATAAATGAATCACCAGATAGGTTGTAAACCCAGTAACCACTTATGTGTGTTGCAAAGAACAAAGTGTAATTTATTTCTGAGCATCTCTGTATAAGGTTGCATTATTAAGCAGATGTGCTCCTTAGCTCCAATCTGGCTGTTCTCATGCACCTACAGAGAGCTGCTGGCTCCAAATCCATATCGAAAGATTCAGCAGGGAAGTTTAATGGCATTATTTTTACATGTGCCTCTGCTCTGTTTGATCTTGAGTGGCTATTGAACACTGTAAGCAATGTTCCCTCTAAGTTCTGACAAGTGCTCTGTGTGGGGAAACAATTGTTTTGTGCAGCTTTTCCCAAACTAAGGGCAAATGTGTGTGGCACAATACTAGTATATGAGTAAATTGCAAATACAAACATGACAGCATTTATACTTTTATTTTTGCTTAATTTCAAATGTATGTATGTATTTATTTATTAAACTTACATGGCTTCCTGTCCTAAATACAATAATCCTAGGTGGTCTACAACAACAATAAAACAATAACCCTAACCCTAACAATAAAAACAATAAAAATGATCATTTCATCCAAACACCATCCAAGCAGTACAATTTCCTTTCATTGTGCCTTTCCTTTCAACTCATGACTGCCATCAATATTTTGTACTCATTTAAAACTGCTTCTTTTTCTGGGGAAGGGGGAAGAATTTGGTTTTGTAATGAAAGAAAAAGAAAAGAAGAAAAGCATTATACAAAAAGCATTTTGATACCCTCCTCATTTTTTTTCCTATTCTTTGTGACATTACCTAAACTTTAATTATTATTATTATTATTATTATTATTACTATTATTATTATTATTATTAATTTAAATTTGGGAATTGTTATAAAGGTAACAGCGATAATGGATCTTACATGGTTCAAAACTCAACAGATATTAATTAACCCTTTTTTGGAGGGAGGTGCTCCTTCATCACAGGAGGCTCTGGGGTCTGGAGCAGGTTGGCTATCACTGCAAGGCTGGCAAAGGACCATCTGCCTGCTATTCCAGGCCAAAGGCCAAACTCGCCACTTCGGCAGAGAGGGTGCCTTGGCATTGCCACGTCACGGACTAAGTGGGAGGTCCTGCTGGTCCTGCTGAGTCAGTGCAGAGCAGTTAGGCTGCTCAGCAAGCTTGTGCAGTCTGGAGTTTACGGGGACTAAATATTATTATCATCAACATCATCAACATCATCATCATCATCATCATCATCATCATCATTCTAATAATTATTATTACAACTTAATTCTGTGTGTGCTGGACTTTTTATCATGTGCATGGGTTTCATGAGCAGTGTGTGCATGCACATGTGGGCACTTTAGAGGGAACATAGATGTGAAGTATTGGAATGAAGGATCTCTGTAGGTTACGTTTGTGGAGTTCAGTGGCAACTGAAAAGAGTTTCAGTAACATTAGTATATGCATTGGTGAAAAAGGGAAATGCATATCCCAAATTGTTTTGAGAGTTTTCCTAAAATGATATTCAAAACAAATCGGAAGATTTACTCTTTACTGAAAATGTGTGGGATTTCAAATTAAGCCTGCAGTGTTTGAATGTAGTAGGTAAATTTCTCAAAGACAGGAGACACACACTCCTTCCCTTTAGTAACCTTCTCCCAACAGTTTGTTATGTTCCAATATTTTCAAGTTCCTTTTAAATTATATTCAGGAAATAATAAAGGCAAAGCAGCCAAAACAACAACAACAAAACCCAAGCAAGCAAGCAACCAACACATAACAAAACAAAAAACAAAGAGGCATCCAGGTGGATATAACAGAAATTGACATATAAGATTACAAGTTAATAGTTAACGTATTTTGGAAAGTAGGTTTTTGATTAAAGGAGGATTCTCCCTTGAGTTGCATTCAGCTCCTGGTGTCTTCACAGGACACATCTTCTTCATAACAAAACAGAACATCTTCTGGGACTTTTTTTTTTTTTTTGACTTCCTCATCTTGCTTACAGCCCTGGTATCCTGGAGCCTCCCATCTAAGTACTAACCAGGACTAACTATGCTTAAAAGATTCATGGTTTCATAATGTGAGTATGCTAAACTATCTTCTACTAGGTCATATTATCAGTCCATTTAGAACAGCACAGCTCATTCCAGTGATGGTGAGTGCTCAAGAGCTTTCAAATACAGGTAGTCCTAGCTTAACAGTGCTAATTGGGACCAGAAACTCCACTAAGCAACGAGTTTGTAAGTCAAAAAGCCATCTGACCAGACCACTTAGCAACAGAAGTTCTGGCAGTCCTGGCTGTCATTGTTAAGTGAGGACTGCACAGGTCATTAAGCAAGGACCTTACATGACCACAACTTATGACTTCCTGCTGGGTTTCCCATTGACTTTCTTGGAAGCTGGCAGGGAAGGCTGCAAATCACAATCATGTGATTATGGGACACTGTGATGGCCGTAAGTATGAGGACCTGTCACAACTACCACTCTTTCAGTCCTGTCATAAGTTCAAATGGTCTATCCATACACTGTATGCTTCTGCAAATGTTTAAAAGTTCACTCACTATTTTATTCACTGGAGGTCCAGCTCAGTCCAAAAGGTGAAGGTTGAAGATCTAAAACTTCCTCTCCTGGAAATCCTCAGGATCTACATACCCTGCCTCCCCCTGCTGACTTGGTGTAGTGGCCTGGTAGCTATCTTTCATGGGGGTACCTCACATAGCATACTTCCCCAGCCCTGGCCTGTGAGTTAGGGCTCCAACACCTTTTGTTGTTTTTCTGACACATTTGACAAACAAATTTGACATTTGTTTTTCTTTTAGATGAGAAAAAAATGAAATATTTTCTATAACACTGTGTCCTGGCCCTGTGGTGTCTAGCAAAATCAAACCTCTTCTTGCTTCCCTTTTTGGGACACAGACATCTTAGAAGATGTAAATAAATTCAAACTGCATTTAAAAGAAAAAGAAAAGAGAGACTATAATCCCTCATGTTTAGTAATTATACACAAAACATTCAGTAGCAAAGGAGATAAAAATGTAAACCTGCTCAAATCACAGACAGTGGCTTAAAAGAAGCTCCAAGAAGAAGAACATCAAGAAAAATATTTCCTAGCCCCAGTACCCAGCTTCTGCCCTTGTTGTAACAGACCAACCCTTTTCTATCTGGCTGAAAGGAAGGGATTTGGGAGCAATCTCCTTGCCTATATGACCCTAAGCCATGGCTCACTTAGGAAGATCCTGCTTGAGAAACAGGTCCACTCCCTGTCTGGGAAAGCAAGTTCCTGGTTGATATCACAAGGATGCTTATGTAAAATACTTAAAATATGCATACATAAAATCCCACTAAAATTTAACAATGGATAACCTCCCCCACATCTCTCCATTAAATCAAGGGTTACTTGATTACAATCAAAGAAAATTGTAAAAGAAAGACAAGGATTAAGCTGTTCAAAACTCATGAGGCTTCTATAAGAGTGAGCTTGCAATACAGTGGTCCTTGCTGGGTGCCACTGAAGCAATAAAATACCAGTTCATTGGTACAATAAATACATGGATGCATACATTTAAATCAAATCTATCTATGCTATGTAAAAATAAGAATAATAGCTGCTATTAACATTACATCATTGATTTAATCCCCTCCTTTAAAATATACTAATACACTGTACTTTTTTCCATAATACTTTTCCATCAAGATTTCCAAAGTGAGGTAGTTCCCACTTAACAACTGCTCTGTTTAGTGACAGTTCAAAGTTACAGTGGCACTGAAAAAACAACTTTATGACCGGGCCTTGCACTTATGATTGTTGCAGCATCCCCATGGTCACATGATTGAAATTTGGGTGCTTCACAACTGGCAGATGTTTATGACCATAGCAGTGTCCCTTGGTCATGTGATTGCCATTTGTGATCTTCACAGACAGCTTCTGACAAGCAAAGTCAATGGGGAAGCTGGCAAGAAGTTACAAGTCGCAGTCATGTGACTTTGTAACTCCAGAGTTTCTATCCTGCTCTTTTCATAAACTTTCTGGGCAGCTCACATAAGCAATTAACCAACTGATTAAAACAACAAAAACAAAATCCATTATAAATAACATAAAACTT